ATGTCAGTAATAAGAAAATGTTCTCAAATCAATGATCTTAGCTACCTGGTATTTTTAAAACGTCTGATTGTCCCCAGTTTGATCTAAAGAATTGACATGATTCCAATTAAAATTTTAGCAGGCTTTTTTTTCTTTGTAGAAAATGACAAATCCATTCTAAAATGTGTGTAGAAATCAAAAGAATTAAAAGGATCTAGGAGAGCCAAAGTAATTTTTTACGTGAAGTGCAAAATTGAAGGACTTATACTCCCTGGTTTCAAGACTTATTATAAACCTCCAGTAATCAAGACACAATAGTCCTGGCATAAAAATACATACATCCACATAAAATGCAGCTCATGTAGATCAATAGGACAGAATAAAACAGAATATTCCAGAAATTACCCAATAATATATGGCATATTGACTTTCTACAGAGGTGACAAGCTGATTTAACCGGCAAAGCATAATCTTTACAATAAATAATACTGAAACCATTGGGCATCTATATGTAAAAAAGAAAAAAATTATCTGTACCTCAGTGCACTCAGTCCATATAAAAAAATTAACTCAGCTGGGCTCGGTGGCTCAGCCTGTAATCCTGCGCCTTTGGGAGGCTGAGGTGAGTGGATTGCCTGAGCCTGTGGGTTCGAGACCCGCCTGGGCAACTTGGCGAGACCTCATCTCTACAATAAATCAAAAATTAGCCAGGCATGGTAGCGCACGCCTGCAGTTCTGACTACTTGGAAGGCTGAGGCGGAAGGATCGCCAGAGCCCAGCAGGTCGAGGCTGCGGTGGCCGGGAGCGGCCACTGCACTCCAGTCTGGGTGACAGAGTGAGACTCCAACTCAAAAAAAAAAAAAAGAAAATTAGCTCAAGATGGCTCATAGACCTAAATACAAGAGCTAAAATTATAAAACTTGTAGATAAAAGATTGGCATATGATCTGAACAAATACTTTAACCAAAAAAGATGTGCAGATGGCAAAATGTATGAAAATGTATGGTTGTGGACTGAATATGCTCCCCCCTCAAATCTCTATGTTAAAGATCTAATCCCCCATGTGATGATATTTGGAGGTGTGGCCTTTGGGAGGTAATTAGGTTCAGTTGAGGTCATGAGGCTGGGGCCTCCCATGATGGGATTCATTTTCTTATAAAAGGAAGAGACAACAGAGTGTTCTCTTCTCTCTTCTTTCTCTCTCTCTTTTCTATCTCCATCCCTCGTAAGGACACAGAGACCAAGAGAAGGCAACATTTGTAAGCCATGAAGAACCGAATCTGCCAGCACCTTGATCTTGAACTTATCAGCCTTCAGAACTGTGAGAAATAAATGTCTAGTATTCAAGCCATCCAGTCTACGGTATTTTGTTACAGAAGCCCAAACTAAGTAATACAGATGCTTGAAATCATTCATCATTACTGAAACAAAATTAGAACCATGTTGCGATACCACTCTCCCCTCTAGAATGGCTAAAACTGAAATGACTGACAATACCAAATGTTGATAAGGACGCAGAGCACCTGGAGCTCTCATCCATTGCTGGTGGGAATGCAAAGTTTTGCTCTGGAATGCAAACATTTGCTCTGGAAAACCATTTGGCAGTTTCTTATAAAGTAAAACAGACACCACATGACCCAGCCCTTTCAATCCTGGGTAGTTACCCAAGAAAAATGAAAACACATGTCCACACCAACATTTGTATATATATATATATGAATAGCAACACTAGTCATAAAAACTAAGAACTGAAAAGAAACAAAGGTCCATCAACTGGCAAATGCATAAACAAATCCCCACCCACCCCCACAGACATACACAATGATGCTGGACTCAGCAATAAAAGGGAGGAGTTTTTGATACAAGAGACGATGTGGATGGTATTACCAGCATGATGCTAAGCAAAAGACACCAGACGTGAAGGGTGTATGATACTGTTTATAAGAAATTCTAGAAAAGTCAAACTGCTGGTAACAGTAAGCAGATCTGGACAGGTACGGTGGTTCATGCCTGTGATCCCTGCGCTTTGGGAGGCCAAGGCGGGAGGATTGCCTGAGCCCAGAACCTCGAGACCAACCTGGGCAACATAGCAAGACCTTGTCTCTACAAAAATATTTTAAAAAATTAACCGGGTGTAGTGGCACACATCTGTAGTCTCAGCTTTTCAGAGGCTGAGATGGAAGAATTGATGGCCTGAGTCCCTGGAGGTGAGCATGCCACTGCACTCCAGTCTGGGCGACAGAGTGAGACTCCAACTCAAAAAAAGAAAAAGAAAAAGAAAACAGATCAGCCGGCTCGCTGGCTCAGCCTGTAATCCTGGGCCTTGGGAGGCTGAGGTGAGTGGATTGCCTGAGTCCGCGGGTTCGAGACCCGCCTGGGCAACTTGCCGAGATCTCGTCTCTACAATAAATCAAAAACTAGTCGGGCGTGGTAGCGCGCGCCTGTAGTTCCAGCTACTCAGAAGGCTGAGGCAGAAGGATCACCGGAGCCCAGCAGGTCGAGCCTGCGGTGGCCGGGAGCGGCCACTGCATTCCAGCCTGGGCGACAGAGTGAGACTCCAACTCAAAAAAAAAAAAAAGAAAGCAGATCAGCAGTTTCCAGGGCCCAGGGCTCAAAGAAGGGGACTGCTGCAGAAGGGCACGTGGGAGCTTGTGGGGTGATGGGGCTGTCCTGTGTCTTGATCGGTGGTGGTTGCATGACTGTGTACAGTTGTCAAAATTTATCAAATTGTACACTGAAAATTGGGAAGTAAAATAAACGCTACAAAAACTTAATTTAAATTTTAACCAAATGTGCTGCCAAGCAAAACAAGAGTGAGAACTTGGGGCAGCCCGGCAGAGCTGGCCTGCAGCAGGCGAGGCCTTCGTGAGAGAAAGCAAAGACCCCAGGAAGTGGGTATTGGGGTGAAGCCAGGCCTGAAGAGGGTGACAGGCCTGAAGAGACTGTGCCCACAGGAAGCTCCCGAGAGAGGATGAGGCATGAGAGGGGGTGCCTCAGTGGAGGGGGCGCCTGAACAGGTGACAGAGCTAGACTCAGGTACAGGGGACACACCTGGTGTGGGAGAAGGGGACATTTCCCCGAGAGAGTATCTGTGTGGCGAGAGCTCACGTGGAACCTGCCCTGTGCGTCGGGAGGGAGCCCAGCTGGAGGGAAGACCCCAAGGCTCCTCACAGACACCAGGTCCCTGCCGACCTGGTGCCCATCCCTGGCTCCCATCTCACTCCCTAGGGACATCCTCCCAGCCTCCACCAATGGGCAGCAGAGATGCCCCAGCGCTCCAGCACCTGTGCCAAAGCCCCTCCCCCAAGCTACAACAAACAGTGACAAGGCCAGAGCTTGAGAGCTCTCTCCTCCATGGGGGCTTCAGCTGGGAGCACAGGGCAGGAACTGCAGCCCGGTGGGCCACCACCCTCCCTGCCAGCCTTGCCCTTCCCGCCCACCTCCTCCTGGTTCTCATCAATGCCAGCTCTGCCCTGCTCTGGAAGCCAGTCCTGGAAGGACTATGTTCAAATCTCCCACAAGCCTGTTTTTTTCTTGAAGCAAAGCATATGCGGAAAATACCAAGTCACGGAGGGCAGGGGACTGCGGCTCCCTGGAGACAACCTGGACCCACTAACCAACAGATTTCTTGTTTGTGACCTTTAGGCAAAGCTCACGCTTGCAGCTGCAGGGGTGGCCTGGGCCCTGGTTCCTTCTGCAAGTCACTGTCTTAGCATCTCCAAGTGCAGCTGGGGCTTGGATGTAGAACCACATGGGGCTTCTGCCTCTGGAGGGTGATTCTGGGGGCCCACTGCTCCGAGGGAGAGGCAGGTGGGCACAGGGAGCAGGCTATGGAGAGGTTGGGGCCTCGGCCATCGGCCCCAATGCCTGAGAGTCTCAAGCCCCAAGTGACATCACTTCACTGGGCTCTCACTGCCCGAGGCCAGTGACACAGCCACGTGCAGCCCGCAGGGGGAAGGCTGAGGAAGCTGCGGCATGAGGGACTCAGCTCAGATTTATGCTTATTCAAGGTCTCTTCCCAGGACCCTGCAGGTTCCCAGCATCCCTCCCAGAAATGCTTTTGTTAAAATAAACCGAGCAGCCGGGCATCGTGGCTCATGCCTGTAATCCTAGCACTTTGGGAGACTAAGGCAGGAGGATTGCTTGAGCTCAGGAGTTTGAGACTAGCCTAGGCAACAGTGTTTTATCCCTACAGAAACAAAAACCAAAAACCAACAAACGTAGCTGGGTGTGGTAGCACGACCCTGTAGTTTCAGCTACTTGAGAGGCTAAGGCAGAAAGATCACCTGAGCCCAGGAGGTCAAGGCTTCAGTGGCCATGATTGTGCCACTGCATTCCAGCCTGGGCAACAGAGTGAGATGCCAACTCCAAAGCAAAACAAACAAACACCTAGAACTAGGCAAGGCCAGAAACATCCACAAAGCTCAAAACAGATCCACACATTGACTGGGCAGGGTGGGTCATGCCTGTAATTCCAGCACTTTGTGAGGCTTAGGTGGGAGGATCCCTTGAGTCTAGAAGTTCAAGGCTGTAGTGAATAATGATTGCATCACTGTATCCAGCCTGGGTGACAGAGCAAGACCCTGTCTTTCTTCTTCCTCTTTCTTCCTCTCCCTCCCCTCATCTTCTTCCTCTTCCTTCTTTCTTCTCCTCATTCTCCTCCTTCTCCTTCTTATTTTTTTTTTTTTGTCAAGGTCTCATTCTGTTGCCTGGAGTGCAGGGCATAACCGTGGCTCATCCTAGCCTCGAACTCCTGGGCTCAAGCAATCCTCCTGCATCAGCCTCCCAAGTAGCTGAGACTATAGGTGCATGCCACCATGCCTGGCTAATTTTTCAATTAAAAAAAAAAATAGCAACAAGGTCTTGCTTTGTCTCCCAGGATGGTCTCAGACTCCGGGGCTCAAGGGATCCTCTCATCTCAGCCTCCCAAAGTGCTAGGTTTACAGGTGTGAGCCACCATGCCCCACAAGACCCTGTATCTTAAAAACAAAAAATAAAAAACTTTATTTAAAAAAAAGTTTCACACCAGTGAGTTCAAAATACTTAGACAGAGGGACACAGGAGCCAGGGTGGGAGGGCAGACAGGTCACACACATGGGAATAGCAGAATTGTGGGGAAGCCCCTGTGGCTTTGGGCTGTCCAGCGGGGCGGGCAGGCAGGCTCCGAGCTCTGGGGGACAGCGAGGGTTACTTCGAGGCTCCTCAGGGTGTCCCATCCACGTCTGCTTTCAGCTTGTGCTTGGAAAACAAGCTGTAGAGCACCCTCAGGGTGCTCTTGGCATCCTTGTTCACGATGTCTGCAGGCCAGAGGGGAGAGGGGCAGCCAGTCAGGCCTGGGTGGGGTGGCCCAACGGTCCGTTTGCCCAGGACTGTGGGGTTTCCAGGCACACAGGGCTTTCGGTGCTAAAACCAGAAGAATCCCCGGCACACCAGGACCATGCTAGGCTCCCGTTCCCTGCCCATCTCGTGACCTGCCCTCCCTCCTGACCGGTCCTCCCCAGCAGCCCCCTGGGGCACCCCACAGCCTGGCTTCTCTGGAGACCTCGGCCCCTCCCGCTCCCCAGGACCACCTCGGCAGGGGCTCATCACCCAGGTGTTGGGCCGGAGGACTCCAGGGACACACACTCATCCCGGTGCCCTGCGCCCATCTGTGGCACTCATGCCAGGCCGAACCCTCGCACACTCACCCTCAGGGCTGACGGGGTAGCTGAGCAGACCTTCCTCCTTCAGCAGCTCCAGGGCCAGGGTGACGTTGTGCAGCTGCAGTGACAAGGCCCCGTCAGATGCCGGCAGGAGGAGGCAGACCCGCTCTAGGACCCGGGCCCATCCTGTCGTTGGCCCAAGCTCCCGCCCAAGGTGTGAATCCCTGACCCCAAGCAAAACCAAGGGTCATTCAGTGTCTCCTTCCAGTCCCGGTGACTGGGGAGCTCACCCCCTCACATGAGGGGTCCACACAGCATTCCTCAGTCACTCCCAGGCCCTGAGCAGGTGGTGTATGCTTGGCACAGGTGTGCATCAACGGGCTGCCACTAGTGAAAAAGGCACCCAGCTGGGGAGTCAGGGAAGGCTTCCTGGTGGAGGTGACAGCAAGCAGTGAGTCCTGCCAGGTAAGGAGATCTTGCCAGCAAAAGGAGCAAGGGCTCCTGAGGGGCAGAGACCCCACTCCCCAGAAACAATCAAGTTTCCCTGGGAAAAGCATAGTTAGGAAACCAAGACCCAGGGCGGCCCCAAGGGCTCATCTGCGCTCGCAAGACAGAAAGTGCTGGATCCGGGCCTGTCCTGCTCTGATGCCATGCAGAGCAGGCAGGAGATGGGAGCTGACCCCCTCCGGGTGGCTGTCCATTCCACCACCCCTGAGCCTGGGCTGGTGCCTCAGGTGTGGCTCCCTGCAGGGTGGAGCGAGCCAGGTCACCCACTTCAGCCCCCAGCTCGGTTGCTGAAGCTCGTGGCTTGGCGTGCCCGGGCCCCACTTGCCCACCTGCAGAGGGGGCTCCCCAGCTCCCCACGGCCTTGTGGGATGCAGTGGGAGTCCAGGACCCTATCAGTCCCCAGCAGGCCCCGTGCATTGTCATTCCAGGTTCTCCCTTGGGCCTCAGGGGCAACCAGAGCAGACTCCCCTGCCCTTGACCTTGGTGTGCTAGGAAGGGAGGGTGGGAGCAAAGTGGGACGGGCCCGCGGTTCGCTGTGTGACCTTAAACAAGCCCTCCTTTCAATGGCCTCAGTCACGGATCCACTGTGGGGGCTGGATGTCCCAGCTGGGGGCCAGTCGTTCCTGGTGCCTCTCCTTCTCCAGTTGCCCGGCTGTCCCAGCCCCGATGTGCACTTCTAACAGGCTGGCAGTTCCCATGGCCACCCAGCCAGGCACGGAGGTCGGCAGGGCGTCGGATGAGCAAGGCCAAGCAAGATGCCCCCGGGATGCCGGCCCTGCCCAGGCTGCCCCCGGCTGCCCCCCATGGGTCTGGGCGGAAGGAGTCTCGGGATCTGGCTGGACGTGTAGGTGCAGCACCTCCCTACCCCCACCAAGTGTCTGACCTCAGACAGGTCGCACATCCTCGCCAGCCCTGGGCTGCCGCATCTGTGCGATGGGGAGAACACACCAGCCAGCCCGCCCCTCCACGGCTGCCCTGTGCCTCGAGCGTGGTGCTGCACACGGAACTGAAGCAGGAGACAAGATTTGGAGGTGCGGGGGACGCAGGGCGGGGGAGCAGTGTCCTTTTCCACGTGGGAGGGGTGGTAGGGTTGGTGGTGGTGCATCAAAGAGACAGAGCAGAGGGGAGGGAGGGCAGGGGCCAGATGGAAAGGCAAGGACAGGCGAGGTGGACCAGCGGCTGTCCCCTCTGGAGTGGGACAAGCAGAGGAAACGAAGGCCATCCCACAGGGCCAGTGCTCCCACGCAGGCGAGCATACCTCTGGGGTGTCCAGAGCAAAACTGAGGGGAATCTCGGAGCAGGCCAGAACACCCCCATGGGGTCCCATCACTGTGTTCCCACAGCTTCCCCCTGCCCAGGCTGAAATATTCCGGGAAATGAGGGCTGTGATTGGTGCTATTGTTCACATTCGCATCAAGAATGTCTCTGCAGGTTGCACGGAGAGTAAACAGCAGAGTGAGTGAGACGAGACCCCGAGGTCGGCGCTCAGCACTGTGCGCTCCCGGTTATCAACCCCATCTCGGGAGACCGCAGGAGCCAGCATCTCCCAAAGAATGATCCAGGATGGAAAGGAAGATGGGTCTCCATGGATAAATGGTTTGGGAAATATAAAGCAAGATGGAAATCCTTCACTGCAGAACTTCTCAGAGCCTTGAACATGTTAGTGGGTATCATGAACCTTCAAGACCATGCGTGTTTCCCCAAGTTAACTACAGAGCCCGTTTGTCACAGAGCACCCCGTGGGACCAGTGTTTTGCAAACACTTCATTCACGCACTTATTTTAAAAGTGTCAACTGATCCTCTACGATGTGCTGGCCGTGCAACAGAGGCCACAGACAGACCAGCCACGGTGCTCACAGAGTTTATGCTTTGGGAGTTGCTGCTGTTGACACTCAAAGTGACCCTATCTGCTGTGTCTGCCACACTCTTTCTGTCCTTTCTGCCACCCGCTGTGCCTGGGCTAGAGCCTCAGACACGGCTCCCCGCAGAGTGGAGAGTTCTGGACACTCCCTCTGAACCAAAGATCGTCTCCCGGAAGAGCCGCCCCAGGTGCCAAGGCCAGCTCCACACACTCGAGCCAAAGCCCCATCCTCCTGCCATAGCGGTTGGAGATGATGGTGGTAAAACTACCCTGTTCCACGGAGCCAAGAGAAAGCAACACCCCAGGAGGATGCATGCGTCCTCCTGGGGAGAAATAATTGAACGAGGAAGGAAGCCAGAGACTCCTGGCTCCGATGGCTGGATTTCTGCAGAGCAAATGATCATCACTCTCTCTCTGTCCCTAGCTTCTCTTCTCGTAATGAATGACAACCTCGCGAAAACACCACTGGCAAGGAAGGCCTGATAATGAGAAATCCAATTTCAAGAGGCCAGTCTGATGCGATAGCAATTCCGCAGGTGCCTCGCCTTCGGAAGGGTTGTCGTCCCCACCCCCTCTGATGAAAGGCCGCTTCAGGGATCTTATTCCACACCCCTGCAGCAGCGAGTCCCATGATACGCCGTAAAAATTCATTCTTGGGGTCTGAGCTAAGAGGCTCCTGCATTCCCCCCACGTTGAATCGGACTCATTGGGAAGAAGGTTCGAAGCTCGGTGGAGTCAGCAGGCTGGCTGTGCACAGGACAGGAGCCGCCGGGTGCCTGTCCCTGGCTTGTCACTGGGGTCCGCATGGTGTGAAGTACCATGCAGAGGCTTTGCACTGAGAGCCTGGTGCTGCTTGAGGCGGGGCTCTGGGCCCCTTGACCAAGGACCCCAGCCCTTGGGTGGTCCTGACTGCCCCCTGCCCCCCTCCTTTTCTCCTCATAGCTCACACGTCAACGTCCTGCCTTCTGGGTGCAGGGTCTGTGCCCTGGTCTCAGCTTCGACCCTCCTGAACCCCAGCACCCCTCCATTCCCCGAGGGAGTCCTCCTGGCTCCCCAGGAAGGAAACAGGGAGGAGCCTAACGAGCTGTGTGCCCTCGGCCAGATGACCGCACCTCTCTGAAGTGTTTCCTCAGGTGGAAATGGGGATGGGCCTCATTCCTAACTCCGGGGCCCAACCTGAGGATTAGTTAGCAGGTGCATGGACATTGCGCATGGGAGATTGCGTCATCGGTCCCATTCTGCACCTGCACACTTTGCAGGGCACTCCTGTGTCCCCACCAAGGACACAGGGCCTGCTCCGGCCAAGAGAATGAGGTTGAAATGGCAGCATGCCAGTTACCAGCCAAGGCCTTGTGTGCCCTGCTTGGTCTCTTGTGTCTCTGCTATTGCTGGGAGAAAGACACACTGGGCTGACTGCTAATCCCAGGGTGGGCATGAGGGGGTGTATGACACAGAGCTAAGCTGCTCAGCTGCCCAGTCACAGTGTCCTGGTCTCCATCTAGTCCTCAGGCAAGTGACAGAGCCGAACTGAGCCCTGACCAGCCAGTCTTAGCCCATCCATGAGGAGAAATGGGCATGGTTTTGAGTCACTGGGTTGGGGTATTTGTTACACGGCATATCTGTGGTGATGGCTAACTGCTGCAGTGCCTCTGGATGGAAGGACCCAATATGTGTTGGCCACTGTGCCTGCTGCAACCACCAGGACCAGCACACTGACTGCACCAGCCTGGTTGTTCTACCCAACATCTCAGCACATGGGAGTGGAGTCCAGAGAGCCCTAGCCTCCAGGGAAGGCAGAGGCCAAACCCACAAGAAACTCATCTCCATGGTGGCAAGGCAAACAGCGGGCTGTGGACAGCAGGCCTGTCCTGGTGTGAGGCCTGCCACTGAATAGCCGAGTGGTCCTGGGCCGGTGTGTCAGCCTCTTGGGGCTTCAGTTTTCCCCTCTGTCAAATGGAGATGCAATGCTACCCTACTCCCCCCCAAAGGGGTATGGAGTGAGTGCAAAATGGGATACCAGCAGTTATCTCCAAAGGAATGTGGGCTGTAACCCAGGGACCTACAGAGAGCTGAGGGAGCATAGAGGATGAGAAGGCAGTCAGAGATGACCGTCCAGGGACGCTGGTGCGAAGCAAAGTGGGGCGGGCTGGGCCGAGGGAATAGCCTGGCTGGAGACCCGGAGAGGGAGAGGATGAGGTCGTGGAGGGCAAGCGGGGGCTGGGAGCCATGCAGCGGTGCCAGGAGTTGCAGGATGGGGGGAGGGGACATGGCCGGGGAGGCGGAATACCAGGAAGCACCTGTGAGGTTGGCTCTGCTCCACTTGAAGCAGGGGAGAGGCTGGGCTGTGGCTGTGGACGAGAGGACGTGGGAGGGAGCCGGGGAAGGGCCCAGGTGGGGGGATCTGGTTGGGGCCCAGGCAGGAAGAGTCGGGTGGGGTCCCAGGTCAGAGGAGTCGGGTGGGGGCTCAGGGCTGACCTCACCTGCCTCTGGGCCCCAAGCAGGCCAAGAGGCCTTATCCAGCCCCAGGGATGTCCTGGCCTATGAAAGGGACAGAAATCTTTCCTTCCCCAGAAGAGTCCAAAGGCTGACCCTAGGCACAGTGTCCAGCCCTGCCTGGGCTTATGCCTCTTTAGAAAAAGAGAGGCAGGGAGACCAAAGTCCTCCGGCCCTGGACTGAGGCACCCTGGCGTGGACAGAGGTAAACCGCCAGCACTCCAGCTTGTCCTCCAGCCATACCTCAGCGTCACCGCCAGTGTGGCATGTCACCAGCTTCCAAGGTCCACAAGGAATGCCTGATTCCTCAGACCAGACCCCACTGAGTGAACAGTGGATAATTCCCTAACGCATTTCTGTTCCTGCCCTCCTCTGAGCCTTTGCTGATGCTGTTCCCTACCCCAGGGAGTCCTTCCTCAATAACTCTTTGCAAACCCATCAACCTCCCGGCTCCCCTCTGACCCAATGCCTTTCCTGACTCCTTGACATTACACAAACCCTCCTCCCTTTCAGGCCCTTCCTGCGACCCACACGTCTGAACCAACACACTTCACTGTGATCCTGGAAGACCACACCTCGTCGGTAGTACATTGGGTGAAGAACGGGAAGTTCTTGAAAACAAAGGCAGGCTTGGATTGTCTTATGCCCCGTGGAGCACCAGGCCTGACACCAAATAGACTCTTGGGGGTGGGATGGACGGGCAGGTAGATGGGCAGGTGAATGAATGCATGGACGGATAGATGGATGGATGAGTGGACGGATGGATGGATGAATCGGGTGGATGAATAGACAGGAAGGTGGGTACATGGACAGGCCAGCAGGTGAATGAGTAGATGGGTGGATAGATGGATGAATCGGCAGGGAGATGGGTGCAGGGACAGGCAGGCTGATAGATGGGCGGATACGTGGAGGGATGGATGGATGGAGGGAAGAACAGGCAGAAAGATGGGTACGTGGATAGGTGAGCAGGTGGATAGATAAGTGGGCGGGATGGACGGAAGAATGGATGGATGGTTGGCAGATAGGTGCATAGATAGGAAGGCAAGGGGATAGGTGGGTGGGCAGTTGGGTTGATGGGTGGATGGATAACGGGTGACTGGGTAGGTGACAGATGGGTTAACACGTGAATAGATGGGCGGGTGGAGATTGACGGATAGGTGGATGACGGGTAGATGGGAGGCGGCTGGATGATGGGGAATGGATAGGTTAATATGTATATGGGTAGGTGGATAATGGGCAGATGGGACGGAGGGTTAAATGGGTGGGTGGATCGATGGATGGATGGATGGGCAGACATAGAGACAAAGTTCCCCTCTACCTTTCACTTCACCTGGAAGTGAATACACCGACTGGTTTGCCAACTCTGTAGAGCTGTGCACCCAGAGGCAGACCAGCAGAGGAAATCTTTGGAAAACTTACCTTTTCTGCAGGAGAATTGGGAGTGAGGTAGAATTCCTTTAAGTGCAGGAAGAAGCCTTCCAGTTGCCCAATCAGCAAGAGTAAGATGACTCCATCCGCAAACTGCAAAAGAAGGAAGCGGAGGCTGTCGTACAAGAGCAGCTGGAGTCAGACAGCCTCGGGGAGCCCGCCCTGCCTCTTACAGGCTGTGTGGCCCTAGGGAAGTCACACCATCTCCCCGAGCCCCAGATTCCTTTCTGAGAAGTGGGGAAGATATTTCCGACCACACGGGGTTGCTATACATAGCAGGTATAAAGCAGTCACAGGCTGCTGGGACTTAGTACAGACTCAATAAAAACAGCTGTGGAAGGTCACTTCCAAGCTCTCTGTGGAACAACCTCCCTGTCACTTCAACAGCATGCTGTTCCAGGAGCCACAGAAACACGGGGGAAAGCAGAGGTGAGTGTGAAAAATACGCCACCAGGAGAAGGTAGAGAGTGGCACACCAGGTGCATTTTGCCGGCTGCCGCATTAATATTTCTGTCTGTTCTGCCTGTATGTTCCAAGATAAAGCTATCGTCCCTGCCACCAGCATGTCATATGCTAATATAATCCTATTGAATCTCTTCAAAGATACAGAACACAAGACAGAGTGTTGGGGAAAACCGCCATTCAGAGTCCTTAATGGAATTTCCTCATATTAGATCTGTTTTGATGTTATTGGTTTGGGTCTGAAATCTTTTCTGCTGATATTCCTTAGTAATACAAATGTAATTCCAGGGACTCCAATATCCCCTTTTATTGAACAGTCTCTAAATACCATCTCCGCACACACCAATATTCTCTCAAAGTCATTGTTTCACCAAGGGAGAGATGAAGAGAGAGTGTAAACCTCAGAAATCATCCTGTTTATAGCCACCTAAAATATAATAAAATTGCAAATGTATCACTTATTGCATGCCAGGGAATATACCAGACACCTGGTGCTCGTCAGCTTATGAATCACAATTCTATGAGGCTGGTATCTTGCATCCGTTTTATAAGAACAGATCGAGGTTCAGAGAAGTCTGGCGACTCATCCAGGATCACACAGCTGACATGGAGGAGTTGTCCTGGGAGCACAGGGTTGTTAAGTGGCAGAGGCAGGATGGAAACACGTGTCCACCTGGCTTCAGAGTCTGGTATTTCCACCCTGCCATGTCACCGTATCAGTCATATACAAGCTTCCCATGTAGCCACATGAGAGGTGGTTATAAGCACAAACTCTGGTCCCAGCTGCCTGAGTTCAAATCCCAGGTCCATCACTTATCACTGTGTAATCTTGGACACGTTAGTTAACCTCTCTGCGCCTTAAATGTCCTCATCTGTAAACTGGGGTAACATCTGTTCCCACATCAAGGGCTTGTTGGGAGGATTCAGTGAGTTAACGCATGAACAACACTTTGCCCTGGGCCTGGCACTTAGGGAGGGCTCTACAGGTTTTAGCAATCGGGGGTGGGAGCATGTCAACCCCACCCCTCCCTGGCCAATGTCCCCCAGAGTCTCTCCCAGAGGTCAGCAGCTCCGACTAAGATCTTCATAAACCAGTCAGTCCATCTGGGACCAGACTCCCTCCCTACCCCAGCCCCAGCATGCAATAGACCCCAGGTGGCCCGATGCCTATGAGGCCATTTCCGGTTGAGGCTGCCAGAGTCCAGCAGGCTCCCCGCCTCTGCCCGAAGACCCCCGGCTGGAGGTTAGCCTCTCTGCTCCTTGGTCCCCCACCATGCCACGGTGTTGAGGGAACATTTTGGGCAGGGAGGCACAGCATCATGGTGGAAAACCACGGCCGATGGCGAATGCTGACTCCTGATGGCATACTGCTCCTGCCCTGGGACGATTCTGTTTACGTCGGCCATGGTGGGCTGAGCTTCTGGGGTGCTGAGCCAGACAGGGAGCCGTAGGTGGCCGAGATGTGCTGTCCCCTACAGACATCTGACACAAGGCACAACCCAGGATATATGCGCTTTCTTCGAGTCTTAGTATCTGATCGTTTAAGGTTAATTATGAAAAAAACAATAACAATGAAAACAGTACCAGCCAAGTTAACTCCAGGGTTGTAAGTGCTCCCATGGTCCCTCCTTCCAGGGTCCCCACCTGCCAGCAACAACCCTCCTCAGGGAGGAGGACCCCAAGGCTCTACGAGGTGACACACCCCCTAGGCCACACAGTGAGTTCTAGGTCCCTGTGGAACCTTCTCTCCTTCCTGCACCCAGTGGCCCTGCCCTGCCTGGGGACCCTCAGCTGTGTCCCTACCTGGCTGTCCAGATTCTGCACAGACAGGCCCAGGCGGTCCAGCTTCTGGTTGACGAAGTTCACAATGGCCTGCCCGAGGGAAAACAAGGCCCCAGACCCGGGACCTCTGGTTTGCGACCTTCCCGCCTGGGGTGACAGAAAGCTCCCCCACCACCATCCATTTCCCTTCCACAGTGTGGTAGGGTAGGTGGGGGGGTGGGGTGGCCAGGGAGCACCTGGGAGCTTTGATCTCTCCTACCTCTTTCACTGCGTTCACCTTCTCTGGAGCCAGCTTAAATAATTCATCAAAGACGTCCTCTGCAGACACAGACCCAATAAACACCTCATTACGATGCTATTATCTTTGTGCCAAACAGGGACTGTTTTTCACCAAAGTTTCTCAGGATAACCAGTCCAGAGGGAGCCACAGTGTTAGATCACAGTTCTTGAATAAAACGACCCCAGATTTGAGTCACTGCTCCCCGTGTTGTGTGGCCCAGGAGGAATCGCCTCCCCGCTCTGTGCCTTAGTTTCCCCATCTGTCAAGTGTGGCTGAGAGTACCCACGAGTGGGGTTGGTGCAGAGATGGAATGTGATAGCAGATGAACACACCTGGCACGCTGACTGGGCATGCAATAGGACTTCAGTAAATGGCCATCCTTTCTGCAAGGGATGCCTGCTATGGTGTCAGCTGGGTCATATCCCCTTCTCTGCCCCCTCCTCCCAGTGCTCTGCTCCACTCCCCAGGAGCACAGAGGCTGCTTTGGATGGATGACCAGAGGCCAGCCCGGGGCTGATACTGAGTTCACCGGTCTCCTCTCCAGGATTTGGGGTTAGCTGAGTGAGGACGCCAGGCCCTCCCAGAGTATCTGAATCTGCTGCATGCAAAAGGCCATCACCCTCTGCAACCAAGTTGCTCCCTCAGGATGTGGGAACAGTGGCTCAGGCTCCCACAGTCAGCCTCAGGCGCCCCATGTCCTCAGACCAGCACCCTTCAGGCACATGCTGTGTTCTGCTATTTGCAGCTAACACACCTCCTGTGAGGTCACTGGTCCTCAGTCACCAAATACCAAGACTGGCCCAAGTCTGCCTGCAGCTTCTGCTACTCAGCAGCTATGTGCCCCTGAACAAGTCACATCACCTCTCTGTGCCTCTGTCACCTCCTTTGTGAAAGGGGTAAAGTCATGCCAGATATCATCCAGATTAAAATGCCCTCAAAACCAATAACCGTGGTGGAAACACCAGTGGTCCCTTCCAGATCTCTTGGTCTGTGGTCAGGAAAATGGTGTCACTGAAGGAGCCAGGAAATGAGAGGCTAACGTATCCTCACATGTATCCTCAGATAGCCACCTGCTCTGTGTCCCTACCTTTACCCAAAACACTGCTTCTTGGGCAACCCCCATGTCCTCAGGCTGTCCCTCCCCCCACATACACAGACCCCACTGCCACCCCTCCCCACCCCCCTTCTCCTTCCTCGCCCTATTCAGCCCACTTAGCCCCCATTCTCAGAAGCTACTGGCAGGTCGTTATTTCCACCTCTGCAGGTGAGATGTCCCTTTTGGCCCCCTGCCCTCATAGCTCTGTGTCTAAGTAGGGAGCAAGCGAGGAGGAAATATAGTGTTAGGATGAGTGGGTGAATGGATGGATAAGTGGATGTGTGTGGATGAATGGATGGATGGATGGATGGAGAGTTATGTGTGTGTGGATGGATGAATAGGTGGGTGGGTAGGTGGGTGGATGGATGAATGGGCAAGTGGAGAGGTGTGTGTGTGGACGAATGGATGGGTAGGTGGATGGATGGAGAGGTGGGTGGACGGATGGAGAGGTGGGTGTGCATGTATGGATGGATAGGTGGGGATGGGTGAGTGGGTGGATGGAAGGATGGACGGGTGGACGAATGGGTAGGTGTGGATGGGTGGATGGACGGATAGGTGGGTGTTTGTGGATGGAGGACTAGAGGACAGATGGATAGGTGGGTGGATGGATAGGCGGGAAGGTGGCTAGATGGACGGATAGGCGTGTGTGTAGGTGGATGGATGGATGGACGGATGGATGGATGGATGGACGGACGGACGGATGGATGGACGGACGGACGGATGGATGGACGGATGGACGGACGGATGGATGGATGGATGGATGGATAGAAAGGTGATCGGATGAATGGGTGGATAGACAAATGGATGTGTGCGTGGATAGATGGGCAGGTGGGTGGAGGATGTTTGGATGAATACATGGGTGGATGGATGGATGGGTGGATGCACAGCTGGCCAGATCAACTAATCAAGGATTGGATGAGGGAAAGAAGTAAGGATTGGATCAGTCAACTGACTGGTGAACAGCAGAAGCCTCGTTAATAACCACTCACTACTGAGCACTCAACCATCTGCTGAACACATTCACAAATTATCTCCTTTAACCGTCACCACCAGTTTAAGAGGCAGGTGCCATTATTAATCCCATTTTACAGATGAGGAAACTGAAGCACAGATAGGCGAGGACATTTGTCCAAGCTCACGTAGCTAATAAGCAGGAGAATTGGTGTCTGAACCCAGCTCCAGAGCTCACACACCTAGCAGACTCTGCCATCGCCAGCTGTGTGGATGATGCCTCTCTCTTCCCAGAGGAACAGTGTCATGAGAAGGAGCAGCCAGCTCCTGAACAGACAGACCCAGGAGGGACGATTCACCCTCCATCAGCACACATCTCAGACACACATGCATGAGGAAAGGAAGAGATTCCCGGAAATTGTGAAAGTACTCACTCGAAGACTGGTCCGTGTCTGTGCTAAAGAGGACATTGTGGGGGCGGGGGGGGGCAAGCAAACACATGGTTAAAAACATCTGCAGACTCATGACCTACTCATGCACCAAGTCTCGGTGCTGGCAAGGTTGCAGAGAACTGGGGCGGGTTGCTCCCCTGGCAGCTTTGCAGATGGGACAGACAGCAGAGCGGGGCTTTGCAAAGAGCAAAGGGCAGGCAGAGGCTCGTGCCCTAATCCCGGGGCGTCCACACTTTGAAACGTACGGATTTTGCTGTTTCTGTGGACCCTGTTTTATTCTGAGGGGATATATCTCAATGACAGTAAAGTGCACACGTTCTCAATGCCCATGTGTAAGTTGACAGCTTGTACATTTTTACGTGTATACACACCTGTGTGATCACCACCCCCCCTAGCAACACAGGACCTGCCTAGCACCCCAAGGCGCCCTCCCATCTCGATACCCCTTCACACACACACACACACACACACACACACACACACACACACACACCAGGGCTTTGAGTTCTCTCGCCATCGATGGTTTTGTCTGTCCTGGAAACCGTAAAGTAAACCATATAGCATGTCCTCTTTTGTGTCTGGTGCCTTTCACTTGTTTTTATTGTTTTGAACTGTTTTCTTTTATTTGGGGGTCCAATTTTTAGCCCCACCCCCTGCCCCATCTGAGTAAGGTTCTCTGGTTCCACTGACCATGGCCCTTGAGAAGGGAGCTGCGTCACACGGGATGGCGACCGACAGCCTGAGATGGAAACACGGGGCTCAGCATAGAGGCTGATGCTGACACGAGGGACAGATGCCGTGCACCGTCCACACAGCTCCAGTCCCAGTCAAGGCTCAGGGGACAGCAGCCCCGGCCAGCATCTTGGCTGTAGCCCCATGAGACAGGGTGAATCCCAGCCACCCCACTGAGCTACTCCTGAGCTCCTGACCCACAGAAACTGTAAGGAGAAGAAATGTTTGCTATTGTTTTAAGCCGTGATGTTTTGGGGAAATTTGTTACACAGCAATTTGTAGCTAATACAAGAAGTCAGAAAACAGTCAACACCACCCAGCGGCTGCCAAGTCACCAGTGTGACACTCAGCAGCCGTGCACCCAAATGCACCCTGAGCCTGAGCTTGTGTCATGCCGAAGCCTGAAGGCAGACCTGCCACCAGCCCGTGTGGTCCACGGCTATTCCTCTCGAGGCCCCACCAGTTCTCTGCAGTGCCTGGACTGAGTGCTCTGGGCAATTCTTATGTGCCAACCTTGGAGGTCTGCTCAGAATCTGGAACCTTCTGTGTTGGAAGGTATTTGGCCTAACTCTCTAAATTAACAGAGATAAATTGAGGCTCAGGGATACCCGGGCATTGAGAACATACAGTGTGCAGGACCCTGGCTTAGAGCACGTTGGCAGGCGGGAGCCTGGACGAAGAGAGGAAGACCGTCCTGGGAGGGCAGAGGAAGCTAAAAGGGGTAGAGCCTCCAAGGGAGGGCAAGCCGGTTAGGGAGATGGTGCAGCAAAAGCTCAGGGGCTGGCCAGAGTTGGCCCATTCACTGGACAGTGAGGAAACAAGTGAGGCTGGGACCACAGGGGGTGCCAGGTAGTGTAGGGACCCAGGGGGAGATGGGTCAGACGGCAGCCAGGGAGCACATGGAAGCCTCATTAAGGTGCTTTTTCTAAGGTCTACTTTCCTCCTGACACCTGCTGCTTGCCTTCCTCCTCAAGTCACAGCACCATCCAAGCACAGCCTGGTCCTGAGTTTGAATCCCAACTCCACCATCCCCAGTTGTGTGGCTCTGGGCACTTCCCTACCCTCTTGGAACTTTCATAGGCTGAAGAGAACTGGCCTCGCCTGGCTGGGCTTTGTGAGAGCCAAAACGTCCTTCCCATAGTAGGCCTTCAGTGAAAGTTGGACAGGGAAGGAGAGCCCACAAATGTCCTGCCAGTAGGCATTCTCCCGGCCAACCCAGAGAGCTGTCTGGACAAGGCAGAGCTGGGCTGCAAAGCGACCAAGGAGGTAATAGCAAGCAGCCACGCCAGGGTGAGTGGGTGGGCCTGGCAGGACAGCCACAGCCCCAGCTGGGCGCTAGCCCCCCTGCAGCTCTTGCAACTCTGCAAGGACAGAGGAAGACTGTTATGCACCGGGCAGAACTTTTGGCCCAAGCCTAGGGGTCCCCACCCCAGGGATTGTGGCAGGGTGGCTGGGAGGGGCCCGGGCGGATCAGCCCCTGTCCACCCCCGTAAGCCCCACCCAGCCCTGGCCATGGACCCTTGTCCCTCCCTCACCTGCATTCTGTGAGTTGTTCCACCGACTTCTCTGACTTCAGACCACTCTTGGTGCTCTAAGAAAGGAAAAGGAAAGAAATGGAGGAATGATGAAAAACTCTGGAACCCGAGCAGCCCCAAGGGATGCAGCTTGCTCTACCTCACCCCCTCCTCGGGGCGGCCTCCTGGCTTCACTGTCCTTCCCCAGGAGACTTGAGCCCATGAGGACAGGGACACATCTGCCTCACTTCCTGAGCCTCACAGTGGGAGGGGGTGGTATCCACGAGCATGTGCTGATATGAACAAATGAATGAAAGAATGAGTGAAGTCTCCTCCGACTGACGTCAGAAGTATAAACAAAGCCACAAAACTGCTCAGGAGAGAATTTTAGCCCATGGGCTTTTAAAAGGTAGGAATGACGGGGCGCGGCTGAACGTGGCTTATTCTCTTCGGGTGAGTCAGTGTTTAAGTCCTCTGTTGTGAAGCCCCTGCTCACCAGGGACCCAGAGACCACCAAGGGGAAGGGAGGGAGTCATGGGAAGTAAAAGCAAGGGGTCGGCCGGGCTCAGTGGCTCAGCCTGTAATCCCGTGCTTTGGGAGGCCGAGGAGAGTGAATTGCCTGAGCCCGCGGGTTTGAGACCTGCCTGGCAACTTGGTGAGACCTCATCTCCACAATAAATAAAAAATTAGCCAGGCGTGGTAGTGCACGCCTGAAGTTCCAGCTATTTGGAAGGCTGAGGCGGAAGGATCGCCGGAGCCCAGCAGGTCGAGGCAGCGGTGGCCGGGAGCGGCCACTGCACTCCAGTCTGGGCGACAGAGTGAGACTCCAACTCAAAAACAAACAAACAAGCAAAAAAAAACAGGGGGTCCCTCTCTCTGATGCTCAGGGTTTTCCCGGAGAAAGAAGCCATGGACTTCAGGGCATGAACCATAGCACAAGCAGTGCATATGCTAACGGGAATATCTGGGGGTGGAGAAATCCAAAAGGGCTTCCTGAAAGAGGAAAACGGGGCATGGATGTAGTCAACAGCACCCCAGTGAGAGACAGTACCCTAGTGGCAAGGACAGTGGTTTTGACTCAGGGGTGTGAAGGCTCCCGAGTGACCATGGACACACACGGCTCACGTGATACGGTCGCCATCAGCCGGGATCTTCACAACATGCCCTGACCCAGGCAGACGTCCTCTGCTGAGGTCAAGCGGGCCTCTGCCAGCCCCACCAGACACAGCATCCCATGCCCAGCTCTAGCTAGCACCCCACTGCTGGGCTAAGGGGACCTGCCACTTTTCATGCTTCCTAAAACTCACCCCAGCTCAGCCCCTGGGCCTCCCCTCAACACCCTAGTGCAGACCCAAGATGCTTAGCTTCCGTGTACGAATCCCTCAAGCCTGGGCCGTTACCTCGATGGTGATGACCTCCACCTGGACGTTGGTCGGGAGGGGCAGGTCGGGCTGGAAGTGCTTGGCCAGGGCCACGAGGAGGTGCAGTGTGGCCAGCAGGTCCTTGTTGAAGATGGCTGGCAGGAGGCAGGAGACAGAAGACGGGTCAGGGCCGAGGGGGCCACCCAAGCCCGCAGCCCCACGGAGGTTCCTCCTTCTCAGAACAGCCCCCTGCAGACCAAGGAGGTCTGTGTCCAGCCTCTGGAAAGCAGAGATCTGGGAGGTACATTCAGAACCTACAAATGTCACTCTGTCTGCCTTGCAGATGGGTCTTTAGACACAAAGATGTTCACTGCAGTGTTGTTTACAATCAGAAACAGCCAAACGTCCTGTGGAGAGGCACTGCCTGGTTGAGTAAGTGTCAGATTTAAGCTGAATGTGACCTGATTCGGGGTCGACTTTACAAACATCAGGTCTTGAATGTGAGACTTTAAACGCAGTAGCGGATGCAGGGGCGTGCAAGCCAGCAAAATCTGGGTTTGGAAACTGACCCTGTTCCTCATTACCGTCCGACCTTGGAGGAGCTGCTAATGCCTTTCAGCCCCGGTTTCCTCATGTGGAATAGGGGAGGGTAGAGAGACCTGAATGGAAGGAAATCCATACCAGCCTGTTCATGGGGGTGTGGTAGGGAGTCTAGTGCCTTCCACACTCGTTTTTTTGTACGAGCAGGCCCTGCAGAAGTCTTTTGGACAAATTAATGAAATGGGACCACTGGCACCTCCTGACAAAGTGGACGGCATGTTATGGGGCTTGGAGCCCCAGTGGCCGTCATTCTCAACAGGACCTCAGGGTTTAGATGCGTGTCGGGTGTTGGCTGTTCAGACGCCTGACCTTCCAATTGGCCCTGCGCCTAGGAGAAGGGCAAGCATACCTCCTGGGTAGACCGGACACTGAGTACAGGCGGACCTGTCTCCGACCCTCCCCTGGCACAAGAGAAATTGGCTCCCGACCCTCCCCTGGTACAGGAGGACCTGGCTCCCAGCCCTCTTCTGAAGCACCAGGTTGAGGCCCACATACCCTCCATGCTCCACTTGGCCTGCGGCTCCTCCAGCTGTAAACCCCGGTTCACAGCCTCCAGGACCACCGCGAGCTTGCGTCTCTGGCTGGCGGCCGTCAGGGCGATAGCCTCTGTTTCCAGCTTGACGGCCGCCAGCTTCTCTGAGAGCGGGAGAGGGCAGTTAGATCCTGGGGGGCACAGCACCCCTTGGGGACCCTCCAGGAGAGTACGTTCAGAGACCCCTTCAGAGAGAGCACATTCCCAGTGCCAGGGCCTGGGCCTCACCCACATCCTCGGCGGACCCACCCACCAGCTCCCAGGAGACCCCCTGTCCACACACAAAGCAGGATCAAGGGGGCAAACTGCATCTCCTGAGCCTGCACCCCACACCCTCCTGCACAGCTGTGTCCACACCATTTCCATGGGGCCAAGTGGTTAAAGCCTACTCCTAGGCTAGCATCCTGACTCCCAGGCTTCCTGAACTGCGAGAGCCTGGACAGGTGACTCTAGGCCTTTCAGAGTCTCAGTTTCCTCATCTGTAAAATGGGAGAGTAACAGCGTTGTTCTGAGGCTGAGCTGTGCCTGCTGCATGGGACGTACCCAGGAGGCATCGACCACACTGGTAGGATTGTTCTACATCTACACAGCTCAGCAATCACTGCAGAGCCTGGCTCCCGGCTAAGCACTGAGGACACGGCATCGGCATCAGGCCTGTCCCTGCCCTCCAGGGACAGACCAAGCATGAGAGGGTGACTCTGAGGTTTGTGGGAAAAGCCCTCTTGGGGCCCCGGGGGGGCAGCCCTGAGATGGAGCAGCCCCTTCAAAGCACTGGGGAGTTTTCCAAACTGTGGAGGAGCACCCCAGGCAAGATCCCAGCCCCGCTGTACCTGTCTCCACCACCTGCCCCAGGACTGCCTGCTTTCTCTCCAGCAGCCTGAGGGCGGTGAGTTTCTTTGTCATCTCCCAGCACCTGAAAACAGCAGGCGCTCCAGAAGTGCCCGAGAGTAGAAAGAGCACCGACTCAGGTGTCAGGGCTCCCGCTTGACCCACGGCATAGCTCCCTCACTCACCGGCCGTGGGCAGAGCCTCTGTCTCCCCAGCCCGGGCCCCTCCAGGTGAGACTGGTGTCCCTAACCCTGGGGCCATCGTGGGGGCTGAGCCAGAGAGCCACCTGTGGGGCCTGCAGGGGCCGGGTTGAGCGGATGGGGCCAAGGCCCAGCCATCACTTACGGAAGAGGTGGTGCAGGATGAGCCCGTCAAACATGTCCTCTTCCAGACTGCGCACCACGATGTGCTCGTGGAGGAGGGTGGCGTTGATCCACTCCACCAGCACCTGCAGGGCCCAAGGGACGATTGACGGGAGTGTGGAGACCTCCCCCCTGGCCCCGCACCTGGCCCGGCTCCGTCCTCAGCCTGGAACACCCTCCTCCCACCTGCCAACCCCTAGTGATCCTTCAAGGCCTGGTCAAATGGCACCTTCTCTGGGAAGCCCTACCTGATCTCCCAGGCTCAGATAGGGGCCTTCTCGAGGCTCCTGCAGACCCCCTGCCTCTCTCTCCATCACAGACCTGAGCACTGTAGGGCTGTCGTTATTGTGCATGAAGGTGGGGTGCTGGGAAGTGAGGTCCTACCACAACCAGTACAGGAAGCGGCTGTGGAATCAGGGTGGAGGAAGAATCAGATCATGGGTGTTTGACAGAAACAGCCCAATGGCCCTGGAGGGGTGGTGAGGAGAAATACGGATGTTGAAGGTGCTCTTGGAGTCAAGAGGAAGTAAGGGACACATGACAGGAGCCCAGGCAGAGGTGACCCCGAGGTGGAGGTGGAAATGGGAGTGATGGCCACAGGGCCAAGGATTCAGCAGACTCCAGAGTCGGGAGAGGGGCCCAGGCAGGTTCCCCTTCAAGCCTCCAGAAGGACCCAGTCCTGAGGACTCCTTGACTAGGATGCCTAGGCTCTGGGATGAGGAGACAATGTGTCTCTGTTGGTTTGTGGGCATTCATGGTGGCAGCCTTGGGAAACCAATATGGGGCTGCAGGTGCCCCACTCCACCCCAGCTGTGCCAGGGCAGTACCCATGGCCAAGGAGAGAACCGAGCACTGGATGACCCAGGCCACAGCTGCCCCCTCACCAGCTCTCCATCAGCCCAGGCAGTCAAGCGGGTGGAGGATGGGCTTTGGGACCAGTGGCCGTATGCCCCACACAGGTCAGTTTACCTCGCTAAGCCTCTCTGTCCCCTCCTTGGAACTCAGGTGACAACCTATGCCCTCAGATCCCATGAGGTTGCTGGGATGGTGCATGTGAAGGCACACAATCGATGCTCAATAAATGTTCATTCATGCAGTCATTCGACAGGCCTTCCAGAGGCCTGCGGGGGTGGCTGCCTGCCAGCCTAAGGTCAAGGAGTGGGGGATGACCCGCTATGTCCACCCCATGGAGGCCAGTGGCCGGTCTGCCCGTGAAAAAACTGCTTCCAGAGCAGTAGGGGCTGCTCAGGGTGGCTGTACCTTTTGCAGTGCTTCAAATTTGGGGTCCTCCCGGGAGGTGGGTGGCAGGTATTTCTTCTTTTCTCCTGGAAATGGAATGGTCATGTCACACGTGTAAGGACCCCACGGGGTGCGTTGCCACTCTCCCTGCAAGTCACCCACCCAGCACCTCAGACCCAGAGAGTAGGTCCTGCCAGCTCAGCCCCAGGGCCCCCTGTGTTTCCCTCCAGGATGTCAGCTCATCTTCAGACACAGCGATATTTGTATTTGAGACATACTTAGGTGCAGAAATAATTTCTTGGTTCTCTGAAATTCAAATTCAACTGCGTGTCCTATATTTTATCTGGCAACCTGACCCATTTAGGTAAAACGAAACCACAGCTCAGAGAGGTGAAGATGTGGCCAGGTTCACCAGCTACGAGGGGCTGAGGGGAGACTTCCTGGCCTGGCCTCTGAGGCCTGGCTACCCTCTTCCCCCCAAGCTCTCAGTCAGCAGCTTCCTGTATTTTAGACTCGCAGAAATCACAGTATGTCAGGGCCAAGAGGGACATCTGAGATCAGCTACTCCCAATGTACATGGGGAAACTGCGTCAGCATGTAAGTTCACAAAATGCACCGCCTGTTCTGTGACCCAGCTGGAGACTCTTCCTAGACATTCTGAAAGCCTTCGAGTACTACCCAGTTCTGTGTCTTCTGACAAGAGAGAACGCCAGGGAATCGTGCACTGAAGTGCCCAGGACAGGCAGGCTCTCAACAAATGCTTGGGTGAGTGAGTGAATGAACAGAAGAAGGAATAAGCTCCCTTCCTGGAGCAGACTTCTCGACACTCAAAACACCCATGTCCCAGCTCTGCTTGCCAGAACTTTAAGTATCTCTAAATCAACTGTGAAACAAAAAATAAATGTTTTTTTCTAAGCAACTAAGTCCCACCACCCTGAATCAGCAGTCTCCCAAGGACACTTCCAGTCTTAAGTGTTTACAAACAGAACATGGAACAGTGAAGAAGTCATCCAGACGACTCTGGACCAAGCCCAACCCCCTTGGCCTGGACCAAGCCCAGCCCAAGCCTGGGGTCTTGGCACCAGGCTCTCGCTCCACAGCGCCCATGTTAAAAGACTGTACTCACGGGACCTGGAGAAAGCTGTGTTCTGCTCTTTTCACTTAAGTGACTTTGCAGTTTTTCTTTGTCAACATATTTCTGTTTTAGCGGTTACATAAGTTCTAGAGAGTTCACCTAAAGCCCTTTCCCATGGGACATCTGGCTGCTTCCTGGTGTGCTGTTATTAGTTTGTGTTTTTTGGAGACGGCAGTGACGGTGACAGCTCTGGGTCCTGCCTGTGTCCCTTTGAACCATCTCCTAGGAGGGAACCTCCAGGGGCAGAGGCCCCAAACTCCCCAGGGGGCACATACGGTGCTGTGCTGAATCGCTGGATCCTACACCTGCCTCCTTTTTTTTCTTTTTTTCTTTTTGAGTCAGGATCTCACCGTCGCCCAGCCTGGAGTACAGTGGCATGATCCCAGCTCCCTGCAGCTTCGACCTCTAAAGGGCTCAGGCGATTCTTCCGCCTCCGTCTCCCAAATAGCTGGGACTACAGACACGTACCACGCCTGGCTAATTTGTTGGTGTGTGTTTTTTGTTTGTTTGTTTTTTAGAGATGAAATGGCACTATGTTGCCTAGGCTGGTCTCGAACTCTTGGACTCCTGGACTCAAACAACCCTCCTGCCTCGCCCTCCCAAAGTGCTGGGATTAAGGTGTGAGCCCCGTGTCCAGCCTCCCACTCCACTCGATGAAGAGCCCCACGTGGGTGAAGAGGCAGTTCCGTAGCCCCAAGTCCTCGGGAAGGCGGCACTGCGAGGAGGCTGTGGAACCTCATCCTGGGGCCCAGAACCCAGCTCCACCACTTCCTGGCCGAGTTACCTGTTACTCTGGCACACTACGCCCTGTGCCTCAGTCTCCTCATCTATAAAAGGGGAGTCATGGCACCCACCCTTCAGAATGAATGAGACGCTGCAGGTAAGAAATGCTTAGCGGTGCCAACTCCCATCAGGCTCACAGTATGTCAGCAAGCAGATTCATCACCGTGACCAATGTCACCAAGAACCTAGAGACAGGAGGCTCTGGGGGGTGGCTCCACAGAAGTTTCCAGGAGCAGGAAATCAGGAAGACCTGGGTCCAGCAGAAAGCAGGAGGTGGAGGTGGGGCAACAGCACTAGGTGCTCATTGACAACATGGCAGGCAGTGCCACATAGACCCTCCCTCTCCACCCCGGCCGCGACGTGCAGACCCTGCATGGGCACGCACCTTGTGGGAGCTCGGCTTCCGCTGGCGGGTCCACCTGCCTGGGGAGCTGAAGCAGGTTGTAGAGGGACTCTGGCTCCATCGTCTCAGGGCCCTCCTGGAGGATGCAGGGGACAGGGGCTATCATCACCCCAGAGCCCTCGACTCACGCTGTGGCCATTTCCTCTAAACAGGAGGTGTGGGAGGATGGTGGGATCTGGGCTCGGTGGATGTGTCACCGTGCCGGCCTAGGCAAGGGGACAAAGCCCCTGGGAGACACCCTTTAGCCAAATCCTGCAGAGGAGTCGAGAAAGGCACGCAGGCTTGGGGCGCGGCCCAAGCACAGGCCTGGCGGGAAACAGTCCTTCCTCAGCCAGGGTACAGCGACCTGTCCAGTGCTCTCCTGAGCCCCTGCCCAGGAGCCCTGCCCTACCTGGGCACTGAAGATCAAGAGAGGGGTGTGGCCCATTCCTCAGAGCTTGTCTGAGGGGTGTCAAGCTCAAGGGTGGGTCCATGTGGGGTTGGTTGAGACAGACACATAGGTGGGCACTGTCTCCTAGACTGTGAGCTCTGGGGCAGAAATCCACCTGTCCCCTTGGGGTCCTGGAGCTTGAAACAGGCTGGCACAGAGAAAGCATGGCCAGGCTTGGAAGGAGGGAACCAAAGCTTGTGTGGTAATGGTGCCCAACTCAGACCTCCTCCACCTAGGTGTGGCTCCCAGAGAGTGGCCTGGACCAGAAGGGCTAGCGAGTACAGAGGGCACCATTGGCGTTCCTTGTTGTGGTCACGACGGACTGAGGGCTGGGCTTGCCCCATGTCAGGGATGCAGCCGACTCAGAAGTGGGGCCAGCCCTCCTTCCTGTTCCCCTGGGCCCACTTCCTCCCTGCAAAGGTTTCACTGGCTCAGCAGATGGCTTTTGCCCGCCCTCTTTCTCTCTCTTCAGCCCCTGGGTCTTCCCCGCGTCTCAAATTCAATCCGACATTAGGGGTAGGGAGACCACACAGCAGAAGTTAGTGGTCAAAGCTGGGAGCCCCCAGGACTGTGCAAGACAGAGGCATTCATAGGACTGGAGCCACCCCCATCAGACCAGCAGCCAGCCTGGGGGATGCCAGGGACTCTGTCCTGCCTTGAAGCATGGAAGTGGGAAGACCCAGTCACTGGGGCTGACTCCCAGCTCCTGAAGTGTCCAAGCTTCCTCCAGAACACCCAGATTCCAGCTTGAGGGCCATGGCCAGAAAGGAGGAAAGTGCCTGGCCTCAGGATTGGAAGTTTCTGGCTCCTTCTCACTCTGGCTGTGTGACTTTGGGCAAGCTCTCTGCCCTCTCTGGTCCTGATGCATCTTTACAAGAAGGGTCTGGTCTGGATGCTGTCCAAAGGCAGCTGAGTGGACACAAACCTCAGAGCTGCCTCTAGGAATCAGCGGCCCTGGGCAAGTCCCTTCCCTTTCTCAGGGCCTCAGTTTCTTGAGCTGAAGAAGAGGGAGTTGGTCTTTCTCCCAGCACTTGGCTGAAGCTCAGGAGAGGTGAAGGCATGGAAGAGAACCGATCTTCTGGTGATCACGAGAGGTAGGGCCGGGTCCCTCTGCCTGTCAGGGCCTCGGCACCTCCTCGGTAAGATGGGGAAGGAGGACAAGCAACCTCCAAGTGGGACCCTGGGGGCTCAGTGGTCCACTTTGACCACTGCCCTCCTGTGCAGCCCCAGCTGAAGCTGTGCTCTCTGGGCCCCTTTCCATGTGGCGTCTGCCACCCCTGGCACCCAAGCATGGCAGATGGGCAGAGTGTCCCCGTAGCGAGGACTCACCTGGCCCAGATGCCGAAAGGACTCACCTGGCTGCTCTCGCCACGCCAGGAAAAAGAAGCTCCAGAGCACGAATTGTGGGCCCGGGTTTCAAATAGGCACAGGTTCCGGGTTTCCCAGGCCACCCTGGGCCACGGGGGCTGGGCCAGGAGGCAGGGGCCCAGCTGCTCACTTCCTCCGGGTGCTCAGCGTGGGGGAGCTTCCTCCTCACTTGCGCAGGGCCCGAGGGGAGGATGCCGCAGAGGGAAGCGGCCACAAGCCGACTGGGAAGGTCCCACGCCTCCTGGGCACCACCTGCACCCCCCAAGGACCCGCAGGCCACTCGAACTTAATCTTTCTCGTTCCCCACCCTCTCCCCTTCCTCCTCCCCAAACCAAGCCAGTTTCTGCTCCCCAGCCCCCAATCTCGCCCCACCCCACCTGGTTCCCGTCCCCAAAATGGCAGCTGCTTTAGGCCAGAACCCGGGGCCCAGTCCCCACACCCCCACCACCACACACCGTCGGTCCCGCCTCTGTGTTCCATCCTAAATCATGACCATCCTTCTCTCCACAGCCTGCCCCAGGCCAGGCCCTCTTCCTCTCTCCTGGACCACGACGAGGAAGCCTCCTGCCTGGACTCCAGCTGCCAGCTTCCCTCATACCCCTCCCGCTCCCAGGGTGTTCCCAGAAGCAGCTGGAAGGTGACCCCACTCACTCAAAACTTACCAATGGCATCTCATAGTTCTTTATTTTTTCTTTTTCTTTTTTTTGTTTTAAGAGACAGGGTCTTGCTCTGCTGCCCAGGCTGCAGGGAAGTAGTTCAGCTATAACTTCCTGTAGCCTCAAACTTCTGGACTCAAGTCTCAGCCTTCCCAGTAGCTGGGACTACAGGCACGCGCCACCATGCTCGGCTAATTTTTTAAATTGTTTTGTAGACACAGGATTTTGCTATGCTGCCCAAGCTGGTCTTGAATGCCTGTCCTCAGTGTTACATGCCTGTGCCTAGAACAATGCCTAGCACAAAGTGGGCTCAATGAATAACTATTGATGGCTGTTGTTGCCTAGGGGATGAGGAAGTCATTTCAGAGAAGTGGGCCTTGACAGCTGAATAGGAGTTTGCAGTGGAAGAAGAGGGATGAGAACATTGCAGGTGGAGGGAACAGTGCATGCAAACACCTAGAGGAGTCTGTGAAAGAGAGATTCCGGCACAGTGGATGGTCAGAGAACACTTCAGCCCCAAGCTGGTCTCTCACACTTGAATCTTCATGAACCCAGCTGAAAAGTGTGTTTCCATAGCAACAGGTGACCGTGCTGGGTGACCAGGAAGCTATCCACTCTTTCTTTCTGACAGATCCTCCAGAAAGCGGCCAGATCAGGTGCAACACAAGAGTAAGAGTGTGTGAGAGCCGGAGTAGGGTTGCTTATGAGAAGTTAGGGGGAAAAAAATGACAAAAATCAGCACTGGTGTTGCAGCTAATCTTTATGGAGTCACGGATGATGAAACAAACATAATTTTAAGGCTTTAATTTTACTGGAACCTAACCTGTGAGGTAGGTACGACCATCCCCCTATTACAGGAAGACACTGAGGCCTGTGACTCAGCCTCTGCCATTCTGATGCACCCAGGCCAGCCTGGGGCTTGTGACAAAGGACCTATTTTGCCGGCGTGAGTGTAGCGGGCTCAGCCCGGCTCTGGACCCAGCAGTTCTAGCAGCAGCTTCTGAACCCTGGATCCATCTGTCGGTGTCCTGGCCACACAGAGATGGCACATTCAGATGCTGTAACTGAAGAGGCTTTAATAGCGAGACTATTGGGGTAGGGTTGAGGACCCCAAAAGAGGGGGTGCTGTACCCCCAGGCTAGCAGCATCAGGGAGCTGTGACTACTCCAAAGTCCAAGGGGCAGAGGAGGGACTGGATGCCAGAGCCCAATGGTAGAGTCACGAAAGCTCTAGGAGGGGCCGCAGACTTGGGGAGAAGGACACAGCCAGGCTTGGTGACCCAGCAGAGGGGCATGGCCAGAATAATAAATACTAGGGCCTCCCTCTTGTCCCTCCTGCCAGAGCCTCCCCTTGGTCACATCTGACTGGAAGCCAGAGGCAAGAAAGCCCCCTGCTGCAGTCCACAGAGTGGGGGTGGGGGTGGAGGTGGACGAGAACATTCTAGAAAGCATGCTTCTAGAGCCAGGAGCAATCCCCGTCAGGGGCCAGTGCTGCAGCACTGATCCAAGAGTCCTTGCCGGAGGGTCTGTCTCCAGTCTTCTGAGGCCCAGGGATCACATCCTTCCCTGAATCCAGATTCCTTTCTACCTCACACAACTAAAGTGGTTTGTCATCAGCAGTTGAATCTCGATTCCTATAGTATTTGTTGCCAGAAACAACTATAGGCAACATACTGTCAAGGATGGGCACCTGGGGTTGGTTCCTCCCTCTGGTTGACTTAAAGGCAATGGGGACCTAGCAGCCATCAGAGAACAGTGTTCTGATAGGCTATCACATATGGTGGACAAGTAATGACCTGTAATCACTCAGAACTAGGGGCCTATTAAATGCCTCCCTTTGGCAGACTGAGTTGTGGCTTCCACATGCAAGATAAGCTCGGGTTATCTGAGGACTGCTGGGTGAGCTGGTTCCTTATCATCACACCAAAGTGTTGAAAACACTAAAGGAACAATCCCAGAGCTGTAAATGATCAGTTCAAGGTATGTTGGGAGTGCCAAGAGTTCTATGATAGCTCTCAAAAAAATCACAGATGTCTCCGGGCTGCAGGGCCGATGCCGGTAAAAATCTCATGCAGGATCGAACTACAATAGAGGCTAAATCCACAACCTCAGCAAGCCCCCTATGTGATAGGTAGGGCACCGTGCAGGGGAAGAGCGAGACTCTGGGAATTGAAATAGTAACATGTGGGGCCGGGCTGGAAGGGGGGGAACAGTGGCTCAAGTCCCTAATCCCAGCACTTTGGGAGGCCGAGGCGAGAGGATTACCTGAGCCCACAGGTTTGAGACCAGCCTGAGCAACTTGGTGAGACCTCGTCTGGACAATAAATCAAAAAATTAGCCAGGCGTGGTGGCGTGCGTCTGTAGTTCCAGCTACTCGGATGACTGAGGCGAAAGGATCGCCTGAGACCAGCAGGTCAAGGCTGCAGTGGCCATGAGCAGCATGCCACTGCACTCCAGCCTGAGTGACAGAGTGAGACTCCAACTCAAAAAAAAAAAAAAGTAGTAACATGCAGATAAGTCCAAGCACCCCAAACCCCAATTAAGAATCCTCACAGCAGAAGGCCGTGGACAGAGGGAAGGGAATTATTACAGCCATTTTTGCAAACAA